AACTAAGCAACGAAATAGATTAGGTACTGATACTATTTCTGGACTGCTTCATACTAGAAGGTACTTTCGAGACCACAGTTGCTACGACTTTGAAATAGAAAAGAAGCATCTAATGACAATGAATGACAGATCGGCATTTTATAAAGGTGAATTTCAAAACAATTCTGATTCTGATGAAAACTGACATACAACTTTATTGTTTAAAAAATTTGTTATTTTTTATGGGAGTTTATTTTGTTAACCTATGTTACTTTTGTTATATTTTGACTTTGACTGATGTTTGGGATTGTAATATTAATATACCGTTTTGTATGCTGTGTTGTTCTGTTGGTAATATGTAATGTAACGTGTACGACGTAAAAAATCTGTTTTTTACTCATTTTTTGGTTAATTTATTTTGTTTATATTTTTAGTTCTAACTGTTAATGTTAATTAAAATATATGTGCTCATTTAGATGAAGTTTAATAAAAACACATACGTATATGTTTGAAGTTATTTCCCGATTGAAATTTCTACCGAAATTTCACGAAAATTACCGAAAAAAAATTGGTATTTCTACCGAAATTAGTATATTAGTCTGTGGCAACACTGCCTGTGTCCGTTCAAAGGGTAAAGAAGCCAGGCTCCAATCTGATTGAAATCAAGACGACGTGCAGGTAAAACCTGTCTGAAATCAAGAGATTTAGGTCCGCTTTTGAAAAAAGACTATTCCGAAACATTGGAACCCTTCCATGGCTGGCTAGGAAGTCAACTCTTCAACGTTCTCTCTAGGTTTGCCCCCCGCAGGAAAAATCTCATCTTCATCTTAGGATTAGAAAAACCCAACAGAGATCCAGACGTGATGAGATACCTGGAGATTTATAATAGCAGAATGGTGACTGACAGATTTTTACACAGAGTATGCCTTGGAAAGTTATGGTACTGTTTGATTTTTCATAGAAAAAGAGTTTTATAGATACTGTTATTTTGGCCAATGATTTTAGTATGGCTATCTCGGAATTGATAAGACTCAAAAGGTTGGTATTGTTAGACAAAAGATGACTATTTGAGGAGATATTAAAAAATTTGTTTACATCGCTATCATACCAAATTCTACCATGTATCACAACAAATGTATTTCTCGACGTTTCTATTCGGAAAGTCGTCATTAGAGTCAAATTAAATATCTCAAAAAGGAAGAGAACAATATTCTTTGTATCTAAACTCAAAGATATACATTAACTCCAAATATATCTTTGAATTTTGCAAGTAGATGTCTTCAAGGTTTTGTAAAATAATACAAGTGTTTTTTAAAAACTAATAAACTCTACAAATTCGGCCATGTATCAAGACACATGTATTATCTGACAATTCTGTACTAGAAATTCGGTCACTGAAAAATTTCTTTTTCGATTTAAATAGCTTGATCAAAACTTGGCACATAATTATGACATGACAACTCAGAGACACTAAATTTGAAATTTTGGTTTTCGTAAACCAATTGTAGGGTTATTTTTAAGTTTTTCTTAGTTCACCTTGGGCATATCTTATCTGAATTAGGCTTGAACAACTAGGTTGAAATAATCCTCATGGCGATTTTTTTGTAGAAATTGTATTTTCTTGTACCGAGAACAAAATCATTATGATTTTGAATCGTAAGTATGAACATTTTTAACAGTATATTTATTAATACATCATGTAAAGACTGGCGATGACATCTCCCCGTACGAAGACGCCATCTATGACAGAGAACTCAATCCTCGAAGTCTAAGGGCGGTCAGTTACAAAGCCAAGCTCCGACATCGATGAGATTTGTACTCTGTCGTTCACTGCAAGTCAGCAATGCATTTGTGTTTCAGCCTAGCTCCATTGATGAAGACATAATATGTTGGGTCGAAACACCGCTGTCTTGGATGATTTTCTCACCGATAAAACCTTTGCTTACTGGGATTAGGCCTTCGCTTCATCCAATCTTGAGCACTCAATTTTAATGCTTACGGAATTAATTGACTTGTGTTACGTTGGCAGAAGTGTACTACGCTTATATCAATGAAATTGAATAAGTATTCAGAAATATTACAGTTCAAAGAAGACTTGGTGGAAAATTTCAAATCTAGAATTTTTTCAAGATTCACCTGTTGTTACTCACTATATCAAGTTGTTTGACAATATTTTCATAGATGATGTCATATACTCGCCACTCTTCTCTTGTCTAAGCTAGCCACATTGAATTTGGAGAAAATGGCTTATACTCCGACATTTTGAATAGAAATGGGCACTTGTGTTATATCCTTGAAAAGATGATTCTATATCCAATCATCTCATTAAACAGTCTAAAAAATTTCGTAAACAGGATTTATTTTCTATTAAATTGAGTTTCAATTACTTAATTTTTAGAAATATTGGCTTGAATGAACTATACCTTGTTCCAAATTTCTTACCTTATCCGGTCATCTCATTTTAAAACACATTGGAAACTTTGTAGCTGACTCCTTCAACGTATGTGCTTTTTGGGCTGTATCTAAAAAGAAAATCTATATTAGGTTGTAGCGCGGCCGAGACTTCTCTCACCGTCTGGGTTAACCATCTGAGGCCTTAACGCGTTAAATATATCGTGGCTGTTACAGTTGTATAATGATGTAGTCGGAATTATACATTTAGACACTGTAACAGTGGCAGCGGAAGTTTTGACCGTCAGCATGGATTTCCAGACGGGGAAGTTCGTTCGTTAACAGGGTCTGTACCTGGTCGAAAGCCGTAAATAGACCGTCGACCGATGAGCTAGAGCCGCTGTTTTGCGTAGGTTTCACGACATTCGCGTACAATACGCCGCTTCTTGTACTACATATTGGTTCCTATCGGCCTGGTAGATGGTCTCTAGGCTTGATGTTAGCCTTTTTGTTCTTTTGATGTTCGGGGCATCCTTGATAGTTCCCTTACAATTAAAACTCGTACTTTCAGTATTTCCCTGACCTCGTAGATGTGGTTCTTTCAATAAGAGTTAAATTTTTTATTGCCGTCACATTGCAAATCTATATTGAAAAATGTAACATACTTAATAAACAATAGGAAATTAACTAGAACTCTTTGTAATATGTTTATTTGCCCTAAAATATCAGAAATAAGCATTCGTTTTCCATAAAAATTGGTCTTTAAACAATACTTATATGCTGTAACAATAACTCAAGAAATTAACGGACATTCACTTCTACCGGCAAATTTTAAAGATATATTAGGATTTAATATTCATGTCTTTGAAGTTCAGACGTGAAGAATATTGGTTTGCTTTTTTTTTAGACATTTCCGACACTAAATTATATGACCTAATTCTCATGATGTTTTTTCAAAGGAAAACGTCGAGAAATACATGTGTTGTGGTATATGGCTAAATTTATTATGATAGTGGCAACTACAATTGATGAAGCTAAAAGTCCGTATTGAAAAAAATTATGGTGGAAAACAATAAATAAAAGAACACATTGAAATGGATGCGGTAGTCAACAAACGAATTCCGGCAAATTTAGTTTTTTTGTGAATGAATCAAAAACGGCAATTGCTAGTCGCGAATAGGTGACGTTTGTCTAGTTCAAACAACCTTGCAACTCCAATCATTTCTGCGATAACAACAATGAAATCAGTGAAAATAACGCTCTGCATATTGTTATCTGTTGATCGACAAAATGTTAGTATCATTGTGAAATATTTGTTGTTCGATTGATTTTAAGATGTTTCGAGTTGGATACGCCGCTTTTTGTCCTATATATTGGTTCCTATCGGCCTGGTAGATGGTCTCTAATCTCCATTCTGAGCTTCGCCTTTCCTTTTCCCCTCTTTTTCGCCTTATCACCTCTCTCGAGTTTCAGTTTTTCCAAATATAAGTTGTATAATGAATTTTTCATTTTTCTAATATCAAGCGATTTCACTAGAAAAGAATGATAAATGTTTGCATGATGAAATCGAGAATGGTAGAGGAGCCCCAAAATTGTTTCTTGAGGCATCCCACCTGAAATAAATACTTACTTGTAGCACAAAGGTTCCTAGAAAACTTCTCAACAAAATTGGGATATTCTATGCTGCTGGACAGAGAGGTAAGCCTCTTGGAGAGGGTTTCTGTGAAAGTATCAAATTCTTCTTTTGAAGTTGGCAAATTAAGATCGTCTATTTCAGAATTTTCCACATTTCCTTCGGCAAAAGTTGTTGCTAATGCCACATTCAAGTCTGCCTCCTTTTGACCACGCAGTTTTTCTTCTGGGGACATTTCATCTTCCTTTTCTTGAAGGCGCTGCGCCATTTCCTCTCTCTTCAATCTCTAATAAAAAATATCGTTTTATTATTGTTATACTAATATAAAAATTGACAAAGTTTCCTTGTTGAGTATTTGAAAATCTTACCTCCTTTTCAGCGATTCTCTCGGACAACGACTTCTTTTTAGGTTTTGGTTGAACCTCTATTGAGGGTTTCTTTTCCTTCTTCTCCTCCTCTTCATCCTCCCAGCTTTCCTAAAATAAATAAGTTTGCTACAATAAGTCAATCTGTTTAAAAAATCTGTTTAAAATCTGTTTTTCCGTTAATCAGCTGTCGCTCCCATACGAACGACAAGTTGCAAAATCATTCTAGCTTCAACCAGATAAATTCTCTCGAGAAAAATATCTGGTCGAGGCGGGAATCGTACCCACGATCTTCCGATCGTGAGTCGGGCGCACTACCACCGCGGCCAATTCCACAACTAACTAGTCAATAAGTGCTAATATGTCACATGGGATGCCCAAAGAATTTCTAGTATTTGATAAAATTCAAACTTTATCAGTACATATATAGTAATCCCAGTAAGTTGTAACCATACGGCATTTTTCATTATTAGTGTTAAAAAAAGAGGTTATTTTTCATGAAGAGTTCAGCAAAAACCAAAATTTAAAAGCAACCATCTGTCGGTCATATACTAGGTTTCTCAAAAATATGAGTTAAAGTAGGTACCCTTATTTTTCTATTTTGGTGATACCTTTGATTTCACAGAATCTTTATATATATGATTTCGATTTAAATAGCTTGATCAAAACTTGGCACCAAGGAAAACGCTTGAATTATGATTTTTCTCCACATTAATTCATAAATCATCTTGATGATGATGATGATGAGTTTCTAGAAACAGCTAATGTGTGAAGATAAACGTGCAGTGCAAACAAGTTGGGCGTTTTTAAATCCAGTTACTTCAATTTTTTTATTTTACACTTACCTTAACCTCGTCTTCTTCATCCTCACCATCCCATTTATTAGCCACTACCTGAGACAGGCTAGAGATTGAAAGCTCAAAATGTTTGTCGTCTACAAAGAAGAAAACTAAGTAATTCGCAAATTTTCTTAGAAAAATGATTTTAAACTTACCCCACGATTCCATATTATTGAACTTCTATTAAGGACCTACCACGACCTCAATCACAGATCACAACTCTAGTTGTTGGTTGTTGTGACCTGTGTTCTCAATTATATTACTTCAAGTAGGTAAGCTAATGACAATGCTGCCAACAGATGACACTAGAATAGGATCCACCTATTCGGCTGGAAGAGATCGAAAGACGGGAAAGTATCTAGCCTACTAAACCTGTGTCCAGTGTTGCACAGCTACCGAAATTTCGGTATATCTACCGAAATTCATTGCTTTCTACCGAAATACCGAATTTTAACGAAATCTACCGAAAAAAATACAGACTTTACAAACCCAAGGAAATTAATTTTTTTTTCTGTATGCTAAATAATAATTTGCATTTATTAATATATTTACCAAGCTGTCTATATTCAGTAAAGCCTAGAGTAAACCGGAATCGCGGCGGTAGTTCCTCAACTTCAGTTTACGACATGGGTTTGATTTCGGTGATTCCCCGTTTCAAACGGGGAATTACTTTCGGTGATTTCTCGTTTCGACAGGGGAATTACTGTATTACTGAGATCAGTTACGAGTGGTGAGTGGTTATTAAGACTATTTAGCAGAGTTTATTGTTTTCTGGAGCATTTTGGCCGCAAATTTTGTACTTAGTGTATTATAACGATAATAATATGAGTGATTCGGAGAGTGGAAACGAAGGTTCAAGCACTGGGAAAAGAAAGAAATATGATCCAAATTACAAGGAGGAGTGGCAGAATATTGCTCAGTTTAAAGGATGGTTAATGAAAAGTGAGAAAGGCACAACTTATGCCAAATGTAAGGTATGCAATAAAGACATAAATATTGCTAGCGGTAAAGATGCTTTAATAAAGCACATTAAAGGAAAAGCGCATTTAACTAAATGTAAAAGCATTTCACGACAGCCAGATATAACATATTTCACATCAGAGGCGTCAACAGCAATTGTAGCAAAGCAAAAAATGGAACAATGGGTCAAAGAAGGTACGTAGTTGGACAATTTGATTATTCGAATTTTTTTTCAACCTAAATTTGGATTAAACTTTAATCATATTTTTTAATTTGTAGGTGAAATCCGTTTAAGTGCCTTTATCGCTGAACACCATCTCCCATTCTCCGTAATGGATAAGTGAAGGTAGTGGAAAAAGTATGCATGGATTCCGAAATTGCTAAAACAATGGCTTGTGGTAGAACCAAGACTACTGCAGTAGTGAAGAGTGTTCTAGGGTATCACAGTTTTCAAACGCTGCGAGCTCATCTTCAGAAAAGTAAGTTCTCCCTGAAAAACTGCTTTGAACAAAATTTCCTTCATTGTATAGTTGCAGTATGTCACCATTTCAAATACTCATTGAAGTGAAATCATGATAAATTTTGATTGTTAATTTTTACTTTTACATCCCTTTGTAAAGTACTTTTTTCCGTAAAAATGACATTACAAGAATTTTGGCTAAAAGTTGTTGAAAACTAACTTTTTTCGTGTTGATTTGAAGTATCTCCAACTAGGCGCAATCGACATTTTAAGTCGTTTTCAATTTTCCACGAAATAAGTACTCATGTTTTGCAGATTGAACATCAAAGCAGTTCGTCAAGCCTACGGCCTCACCGAATCAAACCTAGCGGTCACTATCATGGAAGATAACGTTAAAAGTATGAAAATTTTCAACAGTATATATTAATACACTATGTAATGAATGGCGATGACATCTCCCCGTACGAGGACGCCATCTATGACAGAGAACTCAATCTTCGAAGTCAAAGATGAACGGGCTTCCCAGGGCGATCAGTTACAAAGCCAAGCTGTGACACAAAGACGAGATTTTTTCTCTGTCGTTCATTGCATGTCAGCAGTGCATATGTGTTTCAGCCTCTAGCTCCATTCCCACACAGCACTAGATATTCTTGGAATATTCCCTGTATATCATAAAACGAACGTATATATTCCAAATATTCATAGAATATTCTTGGAATATATACATACCTTTAGAATATTCATAGAATACTGTGAANACGCAATGTTTATGCTTACGGAGTTAATTGACTGGTGTTACGTTGACAGAAGGGCACTGCTCTTTTTTCAATTGAATTGAATAAGTATTCAGGAATATTACAGTTCTTGTCCTATATGTATATTGGTTTGGGTCCCTATCGACCTGGTAGATGGTATCTAGGCTTGATGTCAGCCTTCTTGTTCTTTTGTTGTTCGGGGCATCCTTAATAGGTCCCTCACAATTAAAACTCGTACGTTTGTCAGTATTTCCCTGACCTCGTAGATATGGTTCTGTTGCCTCGTACGGAGAAGCAATACGAGCGGGAGTGGCTTATTTAGTTTTTTAAGCTGGGCAACTGATATGATATCAAAGCCCCTGGCTTTTAGGTAATCTATTTCTTGACTTTCGAGAAATTCAGGTACTCCTCGAAACACCACTCTTTGAATTTGCTTCGTGCATCGCCTACGTGTGATGCGGGATCTCTTCTTTACCAAAATCGGCCGGGCTTGTTGGCTGGCCTTTTATACCGTCATTTTCGTGTTTACCGCTTTTGAAAAGTTTACATTCTCATGTGCGGCAATTTCATTGAAATTTGTCCGGAAACCTGTGCTGTTACAGGTATCTCAACTGGAGACCTCTTCAACTACCTGGGTAGTTTTACTTTTCGGGGTTTCGATCCTAGAAATCTCGATCTTAGTTACTCTCGGTACCTTACTCCGTACTTGAGGTATAACCTCTTTAGGTCCATCGACTTTTGCTTTTTGAGATTCTATAGGAATCTCCGTCTTCGCAGGGCGAATACTGTATTTGAGAGATATAATTCATTGCGACTGCTTTGCAGGTTTTTCTTGTCATATATATGTGCGCATGCGCTAATTCTTCGTATATATCGTACACTTCTATCACCTTTGATATAAGTGCGAGTGGCATCTCTGCTTTCTCTAGTAGCTTCGAGTACTAGCATCTCTATCAGTGGTAGTCACACTTTTCTGGCCCAGGGCCACACAATACAATGTGGGTGTCAGCGCCGGGCCGCAGAGTATGTGACGGCTTCACATTAGGTCGTACGACAATCGCGCGCTTCTTTTTAGATTGAAAGTCGCGCGGCAGCCGCGCGATCCAATGTGAAGGCACTCTAAGAGCGTTTACTCATCACTTATATATGTATTCAGTTCATTTCGTTATTAATCATTTCGCACTAGCTGTGCCCACGACTTCCTATGCGTAGAAGTTGATATCGAACAAAGTACTCATACATAATGTTCATTAGAATATTTTTTGGAAAAAAATAACATATATACCTATTAGGTAAGAAATAATTAAGAAAGTTCAACACCAAAATTATGAATACTTACCTATTTATAGTTACGAATTATGGTGTTGAACTTTTTTAATTATTTCTTATATATCGGCATCTTTTGGACTATATGCGATCCTCATTGTGTCTTCTAAATGACTGAAAATAGGATTGCGGTATTTGTTTTTTTAGAAACTCATTTTCGAAAATGAAGCTTGACAGAGATATGTTGATAAAAACAAATTGTGCACAGTCTTGTTAAGATTTATTCTTAGCTTTCAAATGTGTGTCGTGCTTTCAGTGATTTTATTTATTAACTGTCTTTTAGAAAGTCCAAAATGGCAGAATAATTTCATAACTTGGTTTTCAACATGCCAAGGATTTTGGATGATTAACTTAGCGCGTGCAAATAACATTTATAATGCTTACATCTTTCAATTTGTTATCCGAAATTTCACATGTCAAAGTGTCTTGATGCAGCATGCAAAGAATAGGCAACAAACTAGGTAAATTTCATTTCTTCTTCATTAAAGCAATCAAACCATTAATTGCACCAACCATTGACGGACAACCATCAGTACCTACGCACTGATATCAACTTTTTTACAGGTATTCTGTGTTCCCCACAAATTCTTTTAAAACTTCCATAAAATCACCTCTCGTATGACCCTTCATGGCAATTACTACTAAGATGTCTTCTATGATTACGTCCATTGTGCAGTACCGAACAAATAATGAGAACCGAGACATATAAGTTATATCCGTACTAGAATCACAAGCAAGACTGAAGTATTTGCAGTTTTTCAATTTGTCAATTACTGCCCCAAGCAATTTTTTTGAAATATCTTCAACACGGCGGCGACAGGCGGATTCGGCAAGCGAAAGCTTGTTTTACTTCTGCTGTCAGTCACCGTCGCTGGATTCGAACACAAAATTTGATATTATTTTGTTTATGACATGTACCTAGTTGACTGTTGAAATAATTTACTTTGTCGTGGGCCGCCATTTGACGACCATAGTTCTGTCGGAAGTAGGGCTCGCCTGTTAAAAAGGGCATTTTTGACTTCAAAGAGGAAGAACTATCAACAGTTGTTCATCTATATCTCACTTCTCAATTCACTTGCAATCATAAACAGTATTCACACTATCTTAACTTTCAGTAGATTCTTACTGTCGCAGGCTATCGACTGAATGATGATTTTGTTACTCCAGAAACAACTGTGTGCTATGGATTTTGTCACTCAGTAGAGTATAGCTCAATATTAAACACCGAAAGAAAATGTTACCATTCATTTAGTATATTGTGTGGAAATCCTGTGAATGATATCTGATTTAATTCCATAACGAATGTTTAGAATACAAACTGAGTACAGAAAAGTGTTTTTTGCATAATACAGTGTTAATATGAAAGTATTTGTTTCAAAAGAATTTTTCTTTCGTGTAATTCAATGTTTATATGAAAGTAGTTGTTTCAGGATCAAATCTATTATTGACTTACCACTTTCAAAATTGATTGCTTCCTTCCTTTCTATGGAAGATTCCCATATTTTCTTGTATCACGATGGAGTTGGAGAAAGGGAAAAACTTTCTTTCCCAAAAATTAATCACTCCTAAAAATATAACCCTTTCAATATGTACATTTCCTTCTACATTCTGTTTCAATTTGCCTAAATTTTTACCTGAAACTCATACAAAAAAAAATTTATTCATTTGGCAGGTGTTCAAGTTGAGAAAAAAACCTGTTTTTTGACATTTCCAAAGTTTCAAACAGGTTCATTCTTGTGAATGTTTTCAAATAATAAAAGGACAGTCTAACTGTTAGGTTTTTATTCAACATTGGTAGCATATTGGGTGTAAAATATTTCAAGTCTTATAATATACAGGCATTGCAAAAAGTCGAAAACAGAAGGAGTACCTCAACTCATAAAGAAAAACTATACATAAACAAAATTGAAAAATATATATTGCATATTCAATAAAATACACACACGACTTAATTTAGAATATGTGTAACAATTGTTCCTTGAATAACTTAATATAATTATTAAAAACCTATTCGTTCCTCGTGAAATTTTCTGCTACATAAAGTCGTCAAATTCGTCATAATCGTTTGTGTAAGCGGACAGCTGCGATAATTGCTAAAAAAAAAAACAAGTTGAAATTTGCCAAATTCTCAAATGACTGATAACTTACATTATCCCCCTCCATTCTGAGCTTAGCCTTTCCTTTTCCCTTACTCTTTTTTGCCTTATCACCTTTTTCGACTTTCTGTTTTTCTAAATATAAGTTGTCTAACGAATTTTTTATTTTTCTAATATCAAGCGATGTCACTAGAAAAATATGAATGATAAATTTCTGCCTGATGAGTTTGAGAATGGCAGAACAGCCCTGAGGCATCCCACCTGAAATAGATACTTACTTGTGGCACAAAGGTTCCTAGATAAGTTCTCAACAAAATTGGGATATTCTATGCTGCTGGACAGAGATGTAAGCTTCTTGGAGAGGGTTTCTGTGAAAGTATCGAATTCTTCTTTTGAATTTGGCAAATCAAGATCACCTATTTTAGAATTTTTCACATTTCCTTCGGCAAAAGTTGTTGCTAATGCCAGATTCAAGTCTGCCTCCTTTTGACGACGCAGTTTTTCTTCTGGTGACATTTCATCTTCCTCTTCTTGAAGGCGTTTCGCCATTTCCTCTCTTTTCAATCTCTAATAAAGAATATGGTTTTTTTATGGTTATATAAATACAAAAATTGACAAAGTTTACTAGTTGAGTAGTTGAAAATCTCACCTCCTTTTCAGCGATTCTCTCAGCCAACGGCTTCTTTTTAGGTTTTGGTTGGACCTCTGTTGTGGGTTTTTCTTCCTTCTCCTCCTCCTCTTCATCCTCCCAACTTTCCTGAAATAAATAAGTTTGCTACAATAAGTTGTAACCATATGGAATTTTTCATTATTAATTTTAGGAAAAAAGATTCTTCATGAAAAGTTCTGCAAAAACCAAAATCTAAAAGCAACCATCAGTTATCAATTTCTTTTAGCCATATACGAGGTTTGTCAAAAAATGAGTTGAAGTACCCTTATTTTCGAATAGATAGATTAGTAGATATTAGTTATATTATTCATTCACATAATTGCTCAAGGCTTGTGAAAGGAGAAAAAAGACTGAGGTGTGAGTTTTATTGTGAAGAGGAAAAATATACTACAAAAACATACTTCAATATTGTAGAACAGATGATGCTGCAATGATTTTTTCAGATCATATTTGAATTTGGTCAATGAAAGCTGTTTCATTCTGTTCTGTTCATATTATGAATTTTAAATATTCATTAAAATTATGAAGAACCTTTCAATTGACTTATTGATAAATCCATAAAAATATAGAATTCAATGAATATATACTTCAAATTGTAAACATTTGTTATTTTGGTGGTACTGTTGATTTCACAGATATTTTTAAGTTTGATAAAACATGAACCATAACATATTTCACTTGATAGTGGTGGACGAAAATAAAGCATATATTTTCGATTTAAATAGATTACTAAGTAGCTTGATCAAAACTTGGCACCAAGAAATACACTTGAATTATGGTTTTTCTCCACATTAATTCATATATTTTCTGAGAGTTTTGTGTTGGCTACAGTTGAGGTTAGATCATCATCTTGACAGAAAGTTTCTAGAAACAGCTAATGTGTGAAGGTAAAAGTGCAATGCAAACAACTTGAGCGTTTTTGAATCCAGTTACACCTATTTTTTATCTTACCCTTACCTTAACCTCGTCTTCTTCATCCTCGCCATCCCATTTATTAGCCACCACCTGGGACAGGCTAGGAGTTGAAGGCTCGAAATTTTCGTCGTCTACAAAGAAGAAAACTAACTAAGTCGCAAATTTTCTTGGAAGAAGTATTCTTAACTTACCCCACGATTCCATATTGTTGAACTTCTAATAAGGACCTACCACGACCTCAATCACAGATCACAACTCTAGTTGTTGGTTGTTGTGACCTGTGTTCTCAATTATATTACTTCACGTGTGCTAACGATGATACTGCCAACAGATGACACTAGAATACGATCCACCTATTACACTGGAAGAGATCGAACGACGAGAAGCAGTCGTTATCAAACGCGGTTTTTCAATTTTATGTTCTTCTTATTCAAACAAGATAAATTGCAAATATTTCGGAAATCATAACTACACAAATTTGAGACCGACTTTCTAACATCCATTTCAGTTTGACATAAGTTTGACAAAGACTGATTGAGTCAATTGAGTGTCGAATGATCAATCTTGTGGCTAACATGCGCATGCTTGTAAATAAGGGTGTGTTCCAGAAGTAGTATTACGGTTGGAGTGCGGAGAGGGCGATCTCAATTTATTGACGAAGAATTATCATGATGTCATCTCGGCTAGTTGTATACCAACATTTCAACAAATACAACCAGACAAGTTTGATTTTAGCGTGCTCAAGTTCACTGAGCACTCGACGAAATTTTTAGATTGATAGTAATCAGCTCAAAATTCTCAAAAAGTTCATGGTTACTGTTTCTTGCTGAGTATTCCTTCTATAAGTATTCTGTGTCTTGACATTATATCGTGCGAATTCGGGCACCGACACTCTGCGACAATGTTTCCTCATGCATTGTTGCCAAAAATGTTTTCAGCAACTACCGTTATGTCGGGAAGAAATTACCATTTATTACCGTACGAACCAAAGAGAATCAACGTACCATTACCGTTTGATATGTTGATGATGTCACTGGAAGACTGTCTACACTCAATCCATGTAAAATGAGGTTACACGGCAAGTGTCATGATGACGTCAAAATTGAATTTGAGGATGAGGAAATAGCTAATTGCGCCATCTATTCTCAAATAGGAAAGAGTATAAAACAAAACTATACGGAAATGATAACTGCTAATTCAGCTAATTTTGGATGTGTTTGAGTTCAATATCCATGAAGAAGACTCATGTTCCTTAATGTGGAACAAGGCCAGTGAGAAACAATGAGAAATGTTCACTTCTTCTTATATTCTATTTGTCGAACTGGGGCAAATATTATTATCTCTAGCCCTGGCAGCTGAAGCCATTAATGGAAAAAGAAGAAGAAGAATCATTATCTCTTCCTTTCATTTATCAATAGATAAATGAGGGATAGTCATACATTACGTGTGAATCAGTTTTACCACAAAAAAAATTGCTGTTTGGAGTAGATGTCATAGAACTAAATTTTGTTTTGTGGTGGGCATTTAACTCGGTGTGAAGGTATCCTTCTTGCCAACAACACTTTCATGTCTAACCTGCCCTTTTTTCTCTGTGCCAAAATCAAGAAGAAGATATCAAACGTTTGACAGTTGTGTAGTTAATGTAGTGTATAGTATAAAAATGCATGTTTCAAAGTAATGAGAGTTGTCGGGATAAGATGCATTTTTACTTCGCTGTAGTGCCCATTAAGTGATAATATTTACCCAACACGTGTAAACATAATCTGAAGATGGCGGTAGGGACAACGAAAGTCATCCAAGTAACCAACATCGCGCCTCAAGCCACGAAAGACCAGATGCAGGTCTTATTTGGCTATCTGGGCAAAATTGAAGACATTCGCTTATATCCCACAATAAGAGATGTGTCTTGTCCAGTTCAGTCCCGAATATGCTACATTAAATTCGTGGATGTTTCTACGATACCCATAGCACAACATATGACAAACACGGTCTTTATTGACAGAGCTTTGATAGTGATCCCCATCTCCAATGGGGAAATCCCCGACGAGTACTATGCCCTTGAAATGACAAGGAATGGAACAGTTGTGCCTGGTCTGACAATTAATGATCCTAAGCTGCCCCCTCACGTTGTGAATTCTGTTCACGGCTCTGGGGAAGATCAGGTGATACTCACCACCGACACAAACTTGGATTCGAATGGTTTGCCCCCGTATCCCCCGCTGCCTGCCAATTTTGACTCTGCCAAAATCGAGGAGACTAGGCGGACAGTGCTTTTGTTGAACTATGACCCAGATGTCAGCAAAGACGAAGTTATTGACTTCTTCAGTGCTGCTGGGGAGGTAAAATACCTCAGAACATGCAAGAGGGATTCCGACGATAGCACCAACATGCTGGTGGAGTTTACAGATCAGTCGAGCATTATAAACGCTCTGAAGTTGAACGGCAAGGAGCTTAAAGGTAAAGTGGTGGAGATCCAGCATTCCACTCAACCAATTACCAAGCCACAGACTAAAAGCAATGAAGCTGCTCAGAAGGAAATCGAAGAGGCTATGACCAGGTTTGTAAAAATGGTCTTTTAACTTTCATTATTATCATTATCACCTTCAATCTTACTATATTCTCAAAATCTGCTGTTACTCTTTTATTTGTTGGTACTCTTAGAAGGTACACTTAGTTTTAATATGTTTCAACATATGACCTTTGCTTGTCTACTTTCCTACTAGATACTTCGACAATGACGGCAGCAAAATAAGTACGAGGGTTAGCTTGTTGGTAGTTAATTGTGAATTTAATCCATTTCAAAGGCTTCAGTTCATGAATCTTTGCAGTTGTCAAAAATATTTCAATTGAATGTGTTGAATAGCTCAACTTTTTTTTCTATCAACCTTGCTTAACTAAAGTAACTAATTATTTTATTGTTAGATAGTTTCAAAATATCAACTTGGATTTTTCTAACTTTCCGTATCATATACTCCACTATGGGAAAAATATACTTTGAAATCAATGCATGAAAAGTTTTTCCAAATAATTCAATACAAGTACNTAGCAGCAGCATTTCTTTTTCACTCTTGTTGCTTCGCTTTTGATTTTGTATGTTGTCGGTTTTTTCACAGCATATCACTTTGTTTTCCAATAAAACCTTCAACTGTTGGTTCCTTTTCGCAAAACTTTTATGATAAATCGCGAAATAGTTTATACAAACTTTTACTCCACATTTTTTGTTCTCACAGCACTTCATAAAGTGTTCAATCTCCGCTTTTTCAGAGCTGTCCGACAATACATCTTCATTCTCGGCCATCTTGTATTGAAATGCTTTCACCAACTCTTCAATTCTTTATCAGAGAATTCACACCTCGAAATTTATTTAGAGAAATAACACCTTCTCCTTATGTTGCAGGTTTAAGGAAGCTCAGAATATGATCAACGCTTCAATAGAGCCCGTTATAGGTATGCTGACTAAAGATAAACGCAGCTCACGCAGGTCGAGGTCAAGGTCGAGGGGAAGGAGAAGAAGATCGAGGTCTAGATCACGCTCTAGGAGGAGGTCCAGGTCTCGCAGGCGTAGATCAACCTCCCGAAGAAGAAGTAGGTCGAGAGACCGTAAACGGAGGTCAAAATCTAGGTCTAGAAAGAGATCTAGGTCAAGGTCTAGAAGGTAAGAGGGTTTTTGAGAATATAATGTATTATACAACAGTGACAGATTAAAAAAACTAAGATATATTTCCCTAATAATATATTTCCTTGTTTTTGAAAAGCAGATTATTGTTCATCAATCTTCAAATCATATTTTCAAATACAACAGTATAGTTCATCTCATGATAGCCTAGAGTGGAATGGTGATATGTGGGGGGGAGCATTGTTCTTATCAGATTGAATGTTTTTTCTTTCTAATGAGCTAGTTTGGCTAGCTTGTTGGATGTCCATGTTATAATGGAAATTTGGCAAGTTTGAGAGTCCCTGAATTCCTTGGTGATCAACTGTATTCATGGATAAATCTCATTGCAGCAAAATTACATAATGAAATATTTATCAACTAATAGAAATTTAGTATTTATGACAGAATTTACAAAAGTAGAAGCAGTGTTCTACTTAATGAATAATTATATGAATGGACACTATGAAATATGCTTGAATATTCAGAGTTATAGAACAGTGCTTTCAAAAAATTGTTCTACAGCGCCATCTAGTGGCGAGTTACAGAAAAATTGATAGCCTAAAAACCTTCTCTATGAAAAATTACTTATACATGTCACATCACGATCGGTTGAGCGATGTAGAAGTTTATCACTTACCAACCAAGAAACATCCATTTTTATATAGTAGATATGGACTACCAAAATTGTGTAAAAGACCTTATGAGAGAAATTACCATTTATTTATCATTTTTCAGGTCTTGTTCAAGAAGCTCCAAATCTCGCAGATCTCGCTCTAAATCAAGGGTAAGAAGCCGTCACAAATCCAGAGAACGTGTTTCCAGAGTTCGATCCAGAGACAGAGACCGTAAATCAAGGGACCGAGACCGATCAAGAGACAGAAAGCGCAGCCGAGACAAGGACAGGAAGTCTCGGGAAAGAGATTCGTCCAAAGAAAAAGAAAAGGAAAAAGAAAAGGAGAAAGAAAAGTCCAGCTCAGAGTCAAAAGAGAAAAAGAGTGAGAAAGAGAGCAGCGTTGACATACCTTCAGAAAGGAGAGTCTCAAGGTCCAGGAGCCGAAGCAAGAGGAGGTCCAGATCCAGAGACCGTAAAACGAGAGATCGGAAAAGGTCTCGATCTAGAGGTGAGAAAACAATCCAGTTATTTTCTCTCAGTGAATGTGTTACATTAACACATTAAAATTTTTGTGCTTATATCTTTAGTTCATATGCAAATAACTATTTTACTTATCTTCAGGTAGCAGACGGAGATCGCCATCACCACGTGTCCCTAAAAAGCGAAGGTCTAGATCTAAAAGCAGGGACAGAGACCGAAAGAGAGATAAAAAATCAGATCGAAAAGATAGAGATAGAAGAGAAAGGGATAAGAAGTCGAGGTCCCGTTCTAGGTCAAGGAGGTCAGCTTCTAGGCGGTCAACACGGTCACATTCTAAGGTTCCCAGAAACTACGATGAAGAGGAAAAAGGCTTTGATAGTTCCAAAGAAAAGAGCAAAGAGAAAGAGATTCAACCGCCTGCACCAGAGAAGGATTCTCCTGAGAAATCCGATAACATGGATATTTCTAATTCTCCTTGAGTAAAGCTTTTTTTCAGTAGGTTTAATGTGCATTTTATTTGATGAATAAATATTTCAAGATATATTGTTATATTGTTTTTTTGTTGTACAATAAATTCTTAAATTCAGATTTCTTCTTGCAATTTCTATAAAAGACAAACATGTCAAGTCTCCATCGTTTTTCTTCTTTGATATTGAAGCTCATGAAGACAAGTTTATCTATTGAAACTTCCGAATGCAATTTCTTAAGTTTTTAAATGAAACTCCAGGTGGTTTATATAAGTTATTTTTTCATTAAAGCATGTAACGTGTGTATTAGCATTATAGTGATTATTATCAAAAAGTTGAAAAATGAAAAATTTACTTCAACTCGTATTTTTAATGCAGTCTTTCACACAATCATCAAGATTTATATTGTTTTCTATTTTACTGAAAATTACTGAATTTTGTAATCTTAAAATGGACATATTGCGGTTGTCACTACTTGCGCTGCATTCGACTCCACCTCGTTCGCCGCTTCTCTTTGGCACGCTAACTTACCCTTTCGCTTGACAGGTACGTAACATTGCGCGCGCGATTTCGAATATCTGAGTATTTTTTTACATTTTCCAAATTAATAAATTAGTGCCTCCTGCCGACCCCTTTCGTATGCCGTGGCCCCCCACTGCTCTCTTCTAGCTACGCCAATGTGTCACATGACTTGAAGACGTTTAGTCCATTAATTCTGTTCGTGGGTCAGGACCACGAACTCACCGAATAAGTAATTTTTTTTTGTCTTTTACGTTTTTTTGTCCTGAGCCGTAAGTGTGACGAAAGATGTGTCCAATCCAATCAGAAAATTTCTGCTCGTTAGTAGAGTAGCACATAGGCTTGATTAAACTAGTGACTAGTGCAGGTGCTCATGCAGTGAAATTGTATCCTTTATTGATATATTACGAAATAGAGGAAAGAAATACACTGGAATGCACTGGATTTATCAATGGAAAATGTCTAATTTTCAGTGACGTCATATTATGAACTGGCCATTGAAGAAAGAACATTGACTGCAACTATTAAAAAGAGATGAAGATATTCACATTTTGGCAATTACGTTACTCATACACTTAATGTCAGATCAATTCACGATGTTTTACGTGTTGCATATCTCCATTATGAACATTTTGAGATTTGATTCGTTACATGGTGCTGTGACGTAGTTGCCAAAACGTGTGATCCTCAAGTGAAATATATGTGAAAGTGACGTCATGGCTAGTCCATATTTCCATTGTCTATCCTAATTTTTGAAAATCAAAATAATATAAACAAATCCCGATGAAGGATTTATCAAGGAAAACATGAAGAAATATCACCAGTTAGTTCTACTTATCGTATCAGCTATAAGTTTATCCCTATTCTTGGTATACCGTCACGAATATAACCGTTTGCACTACGTCCTGGAAGTTTTCAACTTTTTCGGACAGCCATGTAACTTCTCCGAACTGCAAAAGGCTGACTTCGTGGTAGAACAACATGATTGGGGTCCTCAACCCATATGGCAGGAGGTAGATAACAGCTACGTCTACTCTGCCTTTTTGACAGGAACCAAGGATGTGAAAGCCATTGCCATATCTAACGATGCAAAGAGTGTTCCCAGGAATTGCTTTCTATGGTTCGAAGATAAAAAGAAGCCAACTCCAGGAAAGTTCAAGTTCTCGAAGATGGCTACCGATGCAGCCTACAACTTTTTTTGCTCTGGATCAAATCCAGAATCTACCCCCTTTGCAGTGTCCTTTGGCAACAGGCCAGGCAGAGAGAGCGACTTGAAAAAAATCCTGCTGACGGACACTTCAACTAGTGAACTGCGTAAAAATGTGACTGTGTGTGTTTCTCCCAGTACGTTCACCAAGAAAAAGTTTATTGAGTTTATTAGTTTCCACAAAGTCATAGGCGTTGATTCTTTCATATTTTATGAAAGCGACATCCCTCATAGGCTTTCTAAGCTGATAAAGAATCTGTCACAAAGACTTGAAGTGCAAGTGGCTTTCTTGCCATGGAATTATCCAAAGCGGGATGCTAGCTCAGCCAGGACAATAGTTGAAAGTGATTGTTTATTGCGGACTTCCCGACAGTCTAAATACGTAATAACACTGGAAATGAACGAGTATTTGCTACCGAAACAGTCCTTGCAGAGCTTGTTTGATGAAGTACCCAATGGCATACTCAAACTAGCTCTCCCTGTGAAAAAAATCTGCGTCAACAACTTGACCCCTGATAAGCCTATCACATTACAGAACTACGAAGCCATCAGCGACTCCAGCTATAATGTAGTGCGAAACCTGTTCAGAAACGATAATGACAGCCTTGTTGACTTGGGTGTAGTACAGGGCCAAGCTTCGATCCACAAGTACGTAAGGTGCAACTCTCTACTCTCCAAAACTATCACGGATTACAGTATGAATAAGTTCTCTACTGATCTAACAAGATCAACACTGGTTCAGCTGCTTTTACAGGGACAACTGTGATTGTTTTATGGACAGATGAGAAGGATGTCTTGAAGAACATTGAAGATTACATTATTCCTTTTTGTTGAGAAATATTTGTTGACCTCAATCCGGACAGAGAAAAGATTTGTCGAGACTACTTCTGATGAAAAATACTTCATTGTTTCAGTTTATGATGAGAGTTAAGGTTCCCAGTTTTGTATATATTGAACTACATTAATATCCGAATTACCTCAATTTCTCTCGAACCCTGAAAAGTGCATATCTGTTCAATTTTCCTTTGAATCTTTGAAATGTAGGTACTTATTTATAGGTTTGGTAGGCAGAATAGGAATCTCCGACGCGAAGTGAATAAAAGAAACACTTTTTCCACATAAGAACAAAAACAGCTCCTCCCAAATTGTGTTTCTGTTACCAAGTTAGCATCATCAGGAAATGATAATGACCGAGTGTATTCTTCAGATGTTTGCATATAATTATTTTTTCTTGAAAAAAACTGCTTACTAATTTTCTTTTCAATCATTGAAAAGAAAATATCTGTATATAATTGAGAAACATTTGGAGGAAAACAATACAGCACTCTCAATGGAAAGACAAATTAGTATTATAGTAATTCAGTTAGTAGATTGAAATTTTTTCATTGACTCAGATAATGACAACCTGAGAAGTTATTGCAACTTTTTGAGTATTTCTTCTGTAAATTATTGAGGCTGTTTTTCCTGGCCCACCCTGTATATTTGTACAAAGCTGATTCATGTATGTCAAGATGGTCTGGTTACACTTCAAGATATTTGTTTCAATATCATCCAAGAGGAGGATGTTTTTACTGGACTTCTTGAAAATAATGTTAAGTTATAAAAACTTGTTAAGTATTTGCGCTTGGCAGTGAATGGGCTAAACTAGGATGAGAACATTGTGGAACGCCAAGAATAGCATGATATAACTAGCTGGGCACTTCTTTGAAAGTGATAGATTCAAACGACAAAATTGTGAAAAAATTTATTATAAAACTAATAAAATATTTACATTCATGTATATATGTATAATATAGATATTGTATGTCCATACTTATAAAAATAAAGTATTTTTGTTCAAGTGGTAATATCTACAAGACTAGATTTTATTGTTTTATTGCATTAACATGTAAAATTTTCATGTGTATAGACTAACTGCATTGGTTTTTGTCTGATCAGTTTCTCTGATTCGAATACATTGTTTCATAGTGGAAAGTTTCAAATGACTTCACCATCTTTCACTGATCGACTAATTCACGTATGATAGTAAAGTGGTTCTTTCTACTGAGAAACTGTCATTACGTTGAAACATTGTTTCTCAAATGATTTTCTATAAAAGTTTGTAACTTCTTGGCAACTCCCGTGAACAGCTCTCAAAAAATCCTGTTGTGACTAAGTAGTCAACTTTTTTTCATCCCTACTGATTACTTTCCATAAAGACGGATTCCGAGCAATTTCATGAAAAAATAGTAAAGCTGTGAATTTGAGGAGTTATAGAATCAAATAGCTTCGTAGTAATTCCCTCAAAGAAGACGAAACACACCCTCTGAGATACTACTACCGTAATTGAATAGCTTTTAAAAATGTTTACTTGAAAGAATAGCTTCCAAGTGATGGCCAACATTTGAATAGCCACGGAATTGAAAAGTTTACAATAAAATAAAAGGCGATCAAATAGCTTCCATCCAATGTCCAAGGTAATTGAGTAGCTGGCTTTCAACTTCTTTTTAGCGGTTATAACTTTTGTTGGGGTCAGGTATACTCTTGTGATGAACAAGAAACTGCGGTGTAGTTTCGTATGAAGACAACTGACTTAGTTCAAGCCACTCAATGGCAGTTGAGTAACTTTTGAGCAAAGGGAAAGCATTGTATAGTTTCTGAATAATCACCTAAATATTTGAGAAGCTATTGAGTAATGTTCTTGACATTTGAGTAGTAGCTTAGTTTCACAAGATTTCTCTTAGAGAGTTAGTTGATAATTGAGTAGCATCCAAGAGGCCATGGATAATGGGTAATTATTAATATGACACGTATTAAATAGCTACTAGAACCACTTTTATAGTTAGGAATAGTTAAAAAACAGATGACTTTTAGGAGCGACAGAGATAATCGGGAGGCTTTGTACTAATTACATTGTAGCAATCTGTAAGTTACTCCGTGATGTTTATGGCATTACAATGATCACTGTTTGTCAGACGATTCAATAGCTTCCAAATGTTTCGCACTTTCTGACAGATGTTTCTCTCAGCTTAACATTTGACATATTCTCGCTAACCACTCCCAGCCTAAATTCCTAATCGATATCTGAGGGAAACAACTGCCTCTCCCCCTCGTTCACGAATATCATCATCGCCCTATACAGCAAATAAGCGCCAAACATTTTTTTGTGCTTTTGCGGCCAGGTGGAAGCTATGCCGTAGAACTCTCCAGATTTGACATTGGAAATATTCTCCACTTTTAGAGCGCTGATCATGGCTGCCTCTCTGGTGTAAGCTTCGACGGGGATGATGTTTTGGAAGACGTGGAGGCAGATTACGCCGCCGTTGTTTTGCCAGACGTTGAGGATCTTTTGGAGTTTCTTGTTGTCGGAGGTGCGTTTGTTTTGCTTCCACAGGGTGACCGCTTCGTACAGGTGGGAGTAGGGCCTCGATCTTTTGCCTTTGCCTGGAAAGGAAATGATAATTATTATATTTGTCAGCAGAAATAGAGGTGAAATGAAAAAATTCTTCATCAGTTACAGTTGTTTTGGAATTATGTTCTGAATGATATACAGGCTTCACTAGAGTTTTTGTTATTATTTGTTAAATCTGCAAAAAATTTTACGTTTCTTCAAGTTCTAGTTGCCTTGTCATATCTAGCTTTTTCTAGATTAGATTTTGATTTAAACACATTCATATTGTATATCATCCCCTGAAAAAAATAATTTCGGCCGCCGCTGGTCGTCGTCAATCAAGAGACTTCCAGCGACTTTCCTATCGGCTTCCAGAGACTTTCACTACGATATAAGTGTTCTAATAAGGTGATAGACATTGGAGTATTAGTCCGAAATTTCAGTTTAAAGTGTTTGTGTTGAATTGTCAATGTAGCAGTGAAATAAAGTTGAGTTTAATTGCAGAGTGCACTCAATTATTGTCAAACGACGTAAATTCAGAGTGGAAACATAGTTCAAATCCACACCTTGTAGACCTAACTGTGTAATTACAGAATTTCTTAGCTTTTTCCGATGACTTCATCCGCGTGGACTACAGAATATAACTTATTCATCGGGTGGAGCCCTATCCCGTTAGTATATTTGGATAAAATGTATCTTAACAACAGTGAATAAATCATTAAAATGGATTCACTAGTTTTCTTCTTTATCGCTCGCAACTGATCAGCCCTGGTCGTACAAAGAAATATATAGAAAGACGAATTAGATTTTATTTGCACCTATTGAACTTGATGTTTGATATTTTTTTGTGGTAGCAGATCGATTTTTGATAGTTTCGAAATCAAATATTGTTTAAATGAGAGCTCTAAGCCTCAGTGCTGAATCGCTACAAAAACTCTTAGTTTATCGAATTTATTTCAACATATTTCTATACATCAAACCATATAAAGCTGTGGCGCGTCAGTCATATTCTCAATACTCTGTGGAACTACCAGAACATATTTTAATAATTCTTCCATTATTAGAAAGCTGCATTATCCAGAAGCAACATCTTTGTTTAGTAGATGAACAAAGAGACTTCTGGCTCAAAATCCCATGTATTTTCTTATGGAGCTTAACTTTTTGCAATTTTTGGTTCAAACAGGAGTGGGGGACACGTGTGACGTCATCGTTTCGTACATTAATGCATGCCTTCTTCATTGCGAGTCGATGATGTCACACGTTTCCCCCACTCCTGTTTGAACCAAAAATTGCAAAAAGTTTAGCTCTATAAGAAAATATATGGGATTTTGAGCCCTCTTTGTTCATCTACTTTCTTTATCCCGATATTCCCTCGGGTTCGGTTTCTACGCGGAGTATTATAGCGTTTTCCATTGGTAAAACTAGTGCACTCATGATTTAAGACATGATTTAAGACATGTTTCAATATTAGTGCAGTTCCAATGGAATATAAATTTCAGCACATGTTACTCAACAACACTACTATGACAGAAAAGATAAAGATCTAATCTACAGGCTACTGGAATACAAAATACTATTGTTATTTTTTGATTACAGTTGAGTCGCGATAGTCCAACAGTTTACAGTCAGACACGCTCGGTAGTCCACAGTTGGACTATTTGAACATCCTTTCTTAGTGCGCATCTAAGACCTAAGACATCTAAGACCAAATTTTAGCTTAGGACTTACCAGTACGGAGAAACAGAGATGAATGCGTGAGTGCTAAGTGAGTGACTTTCGCATTAATAAGTATAGATTATCTAAAAGTATGCTGTTGATTGAGATAGATTTAAAAACAGTCTCTATGTTGTTAACTAAAATATTATCAATGCAGGAACTGGATATTGAAGGCATACTCGTTGGTTTATGGATAGATAATTTATACTGTAACAGTTGAAAATTAATTATACTTCAACGTACTTTTATGGAATTAGCACTGAAATCAATGTTGAAACTCATTTTCAGGAAAATTTTGATGGAATAATTATATAGTTTTGATCAACTCACCGACATAAAATATGGCAGACAAGAACGTCTCCCAGACTTCTTTTGGCTTCATACAATCCGCCCGACATGGTAAATTGCCGGTAAGCCTCGGATCCAATAGAAGATAAGTAAAGGAGGACTTGTTGACACCTTCTCTCCACTTTCTGGTCGGATCCGGATTAGAAAACTCCTTCGACACTGTTTCCTCTAGGCTTTTGTAGAGCTCCAGGTCGTCGGTCCAAGAGGGATTCCTGATGGTCTTTTCTAGTTCCACGGAGTATACTGAGAACAAGGATGAAATTGTTTTTTGACATACGCGCAAGGAATTTTTAGAGTGACGATATAAAAAAATCATAGTGTTTACTGAGCCAAAGTTTGACAGAAGTTGGATGTCAGAAAGAACAACCAAGGAAACTTCAAAGTACAGGGGTTATTTACAAAGGAATATGTAGCAAATATCGTTCTAGAAATGTTTTATGAAAGTTTATAACAGCCCTACTTTTTTTGAAGAATATTTTTCAATTTATTTTGTTTCTTTAATTTGTCGTTAAAAACTTGCCTCGGTTTGGGGGAATATCATTAATTATTGGGTCTCATTTATAGATCAATGTGTGGTCTTTAATACCTAATCAAAAGTAAAAAAGTTTTTAAAAGAATAGATAGAATAAAAATGCATTTTATTATACATTCTTATAAAAAATTACAAATATAGTTTTGGATTATACTAGTGCATGTTCAAAATTCAAAGCTTTATTATTATTTAAATATATTTCACCCATAAACTCACTTCTCTTTGAAAAGGTATGCTGAACATCTTGAACTAACAGGGGATTTTTCGTCAACTTGTACAGCTTCTTCAGATACACCCTCTTGGTAGTGACTGTGATAGGACCAGGATCATAACCGTGTAAGGTGAGTTCCCTTCTTAGAGTATCGGCGTCATATTGGAAAGTTTCCGGCAAAGACGACATTTTGGAAGAAAACGACGCGGTCTTTGTGCTACCATTACACTCACTGAAAATCAACCAAGGTCAAAATTTATTAATTGTATGATAAGATAAGATGACGCAAGAGTATGTTTGAAAACGATATTCCCTCGGGTTCGGTTTCTACGCGGTGTATTATAGCGTTTTCCATTGGTAAAACTAGTGCACTCATGATTTAAGACATGTTTCAATATTAGTGCAGTTCCAATGGAATATAAATTTCAGCAAACTGTCCGAGTCTCTGCATATGACGATTCAAATGACAGTGACCTGTAAGAAGGCCTGTTAGACATCGTAGTTCATCCCTACTGTAGTCCAACAACTGTTTGGTATCAAGCTTCAAAGTGAAATTAATTTAATTTGGTCGGGATGACCACCCATAGACCGGTTTCGTAGTAATAGCTCCTCGTCCGTGCCGGGTGGGTCATTTCAAATGGAGTGACCCGTCTAAAAATGTCGAACAAGCAAATCAATTCCACAAGCAAATCAAAACCAATTCCTAAACTCCGTCTTCAGTTGATTCAGTACGATGTACTACAGCGCCACCTGCAGACAATCGTGACAAAAATATATCTTTATCAATCGATTTTATTATTAAAGGCTGATGAAATGATCAAATAAGCCAAGTTCGGCCACGAGATTCACAAGAATTTTTATAAACTTCAAAAATATGCCCGAAATTGTAAAATAAGTGCATGTGAACTTGGATACAGAGATGGATAGCAATTCAAATTTCCCTTCTAAACTCACTAATATAGTCTATCTCTCCGTTTTCTCTACTCAATTCTGTTTTGAAGATGGCAAAAACATTTTCAGATTTTTTTCTGGTTCAATAAGTAAACCGTCCGGGATTTATCACTATCACACATCATGTTGTGCGTGGTTTCAAATCATTCTAGGTTTAAGGAACCACAACTAAACTATCACTTAGATCTCCCACATCTTAAACTCTCCAAAACCCCTCAATCCGCCCCTGCTTACCTCGGCGCCTTCAACAACCTTCTCTCATACAGTACGATACCCTCCTCCATATCCTCGTACTTGTAGACCTCCGAAACGCTCATGAAACTCAGGTCCGTACTGGCCGCGTCATCAGACTTTTTGCTCCCATCTTCGATGCTCTTAGTGAGATCCTCGGTGATTTCGAAAACGTTTCTGTTCAACGCACTATTGGAGGTGCATGTCAAGTAGTCGCTGCTCGTGGAATTCTTCTTCTCACCGCTGACGGAACCGAAAATTCCCGAAGAAGCCGAATCGGTAACGCTGTGCGGTAGCGCCACGTGGTCGGCTTTGCAGGAGCTGGGAGTGCACTCTTTGGAGTTGGAGAGGGTCACGATTCCGCTTTCACTGGAGATGACTTCGGTTTTGGGTTCTGGCGGTGTTTTGGAAACGTCGTTCGGGGATAACTCATCGGGCGTGAAGCTTAGCTTTCTGGCGGGATTTCCTTTCATGGGGGTGCTGGTGTTTAACTTTACGGGCACTCTGCGGATAGACAGATATGTTTATTGTCCGAAGATTATACAAGGTGCGGCAAAAGTTAGTTAAATGAATTACATATCAATAAAAACAAACAATGACGGGATACCAAAACTTGGTTTATAATCTGAAAAAGTTAGAAATTTATAGAAAAACATACAAACAACTACATTTCAAGTTCAGTGTTAACTACCTTCATCAATACATTCGTGGCATCGCTTATATACGGTAGAAATTAATTTCTATCAAGGAAGCTACCATATGGGCGAAAAGTGACAAGAAATCAAAAAAAAAGTTTGAGTCTCGGGACGTCCGACAGAAGTAATAACTTGAACTAATCTAAGTTGAACTTTTCAATATTGAAATTGTTCAACTTGAGAAAAGCTTAGGTTACTTCTTAAATTTTATGTTATTACACAAACATATATATTACGTTTACGATTACTTAATATTTTGTATTTATTGTAAAACTCAATAATTGTAAACAATATATATATTCAAAACAGCATTGAATCTTTAAATTTACTTTCAATACAAAAACACGCAAAAGCTACCCACAGGTAGAAATTTCCAAAAAAATCTTTACAATTTAAAGTTGGCAACAACTTTTATCACTATAACCACTGACATATGTCATGTCAACTGTCTGTCAATCCTAACCAATAGAAACGATTTGTGAAATTTCGACATATGACATTATACTCATTCAAAACAATTTTAAACTGTAACGTATTTCGTCAAACTGAACGTTTTATCTTCCTGTTTGTTCTTTTATACGGTTAGAACGCCTTAGTGCAGGTATTTGTCATTCTCCTGTCATCCGGATGTCTCTTTAAATATGCCTGTATTTGGTTTACATTAGGTAATATCCTTTGTGTTGGAATTTCTCTAGTTTCACTTTTTCTGGGAAAGTGTATTGTGTAGAATATTGAATGCTAGGTCTTGTTGTGTTTTGATTTGTATTTGTTCTTCGATAAGTGAATTATGACTATTGAATTTATAGTTGTTTAGGTTTTCCCAGATGTCCATACGGTTTCCTTTTTCGACTTGTTTTATGAGTTTGATGTTTTGATGATGTAGGGGAAAGTTATGTTTGTTTTGTATGGCGTGTGTTGCAAGTAGAGGACAAATACCTGCACTAAGGCCTTCTAACCGTATAAAAGAACAAATAAGAAGATAAAACGTTCAGTTTGTGTAGAACCAAGAAGATGATAGCACAGCCTGCTATCGAAAGCGCTCGCATATAATAAGTAGAAGTTATTAAAGCTTCAAATCCTTTTTGTAAACAAATATGTGTGTGTGAATTTTAAATTATTAAACTAACCTTCCGTTGGGAGATTCTATAATGTTCCGAGGATCATTTATGCTTGTTTCATTAAATTTTGTACAATCACTTTCAAAAGCGGCGATAGTTTTACGTTATATGCTCACTGTCAACAGTATATGTCGACCGCACTCTGAACACTGAGTCAAGCGAAGAGAAGCGAGAGAAGATGCCAGATATACTGGCGCCGTTATGAGTTACGTTACCAAGCGGTTTACCCTCCCATGAGAAGCTATCACTTCAATTATTGTGAAAATTGTGTAATAATTATCAAGGATAGAAAAATTATACATTCTGCTCGAGAGAAATTATTAATTCTCGCCATTTTCATGTGTAACAAACACATTTATCGCTCGTTGAATACTATTCCGTTATTGAATGAAGTGTTATACGACTCTCTATGTATTAATAAAATGTTGTATCTACCTGTCAGTTCGTTCACGACACCCACTGCCGTCTTTGCTGATCTTGCGTTTCTTCCTGTAGGCCTTCCTGAAAGTAATGTCCTGCGGGGTTATCTTCCTGGCGCTGGGGTTATCCGATTCGTCCACAGAGCTTTCGAAGGAGAAAAAGCTCTGGTCCTCGGATTCGCTAGTGCCCGCAGTAGCAGGAACTTTGATGAAGGTTTTCCCCCCAATGTCGTCGACGTGCTTGCTGAACCAGTTCATGACGTATTCGTTAGTGTCGGACTGGGGTAGGTTTTGCAAATTGGGGATGCTTTTTTCTTTCTTAATACTGCCGGTAACTTCGAGCAATTTGTACTCGCCTTCAGTACTGCCATTGTTTACGATTACTTTATCTGTGAAAGGGGAGATAGAACCACATCCACTTAATTGAAAATACAAAGTAACTGTTTATGAGAATTGAAAACCAACCAGTACTGTGTGTGGGCATACAGGCTGATTCACGGTGGATGGCACATTAGACGTTTCTGGTGAACCAGACAACGGATCACTTTGAAAATTTAATGGAGGGCATATTCGGACATTCTCTAGCCAACTAAAATATTTTCGACAATGCGGTGTTGCCGCTTCTATTAGAAAGCAGTAGCAACTTTGATTTTTCAAA